GTACCATGGTGCTAACAGGACCGCGCTGCTAACAGTAACAGTACCATGGTGCTAACAGGATCGCGCTGCTAACAGTAACAGTACCATGCTAACAAGACAGCAAACAAAGCTCTTCCTCCTTTAATGTCTAATATAACTAAACTGTATCAACATTTGTACAAAGATGTCAATTAAAAGGATTAATTTACATGAAATTACTCTTGATAATAATTCTTTATGTTTTTTACATTCATCTGTATGTAAAAAAAAATTCCTGACCGGGACCACTACCATTCAGGTATAAATAAAACAGATTTATATCATTCTCATTCAGATTTCTTCTTGGTAAAATATAAAGGCATATGTGTTACTGACCTAATTTAAAATATAACAATAGTGTTACATATAAATTTAATTTACCAGTAATATGGCTCTAATTCAGAAAGCAACAAAGTAAGGATGGATGCTGATCAACATTCGAGAAAAATCTGGATTAATCTGATGTGAGGGGGACAGAGGTCTTCCTGTCCACCAGTTCCTCCGAGATATTTCACAACTGAGCATGACAAGCTGTCGCGTTGGAAACAAAGTTAGGGTTTCTGGGAAAGGCTCTAATGTCCTGCCAGTCTAAACATGAGGACTAGGACAGCAAGGCTGTGTGGGAGAGAAGCAGCTGCTTTTCACATCTCACTCTGTCCTCCACACAGCAGGCCATGTTTCACACTCCAGAGACATCTGTAATGTGGCACAGCTGGATGACAAGGGCTAATTGTTCTGGATGGGGTCTGATTTATGGCAACAAATATGAAAAAGTATTGGAAAAAAAAAGGAATCCTCAAGTTTTGGGTTTTCTCGAGTCTTTCTTGAGAGTCCTGTGTCTTTACAATGATTTTATTACTCTAAACCAGGCATGCAGACTTTTCCAGCATGCAGGCTACTTTTAAAATGACCAAGTCAAAGCGATCTACAGTACCTACTATAAAAATACAAAACATATACTCATTTATAAACATATTCAGTATTCTTTATTTGTACAACATATGCTGATGTACCTTGCATAACTGCATGAACCTATATTGCACAAACTCTGTACATTTATTGTCATTACTTTACTCTGATGACTTGCACTGAATGAAGTCAGCCAGGGATGCATAATCCAGACAGTAGCTGCTGATAGCCAGCCTCATGCACGCTTCTAAATGATCATCATGTGGGAAAAGGCTGAGTCACATAAATAAGTGGAGGCGAATAATGCAATCAGGGAGGTAACACATTTCTTCATGTTGGGGTACTTTTCCTCTGAGTAAATTCCAGAACTGTCCATGAGCCCTGGTCTTAAGCTGAATGTCAGCTTGAAGAGTCAAAATCTTATCCTCCACTCCAGATATCGGTAGACACCATCTGAATAAAAATGCACAACTGGGCTCTGTCACTTATGTCCATCCATCCATCCATTTTCTTCCGCTTATCCGGGGTCGGGTCGCGGGGGTAGCAGCCTAAGTAGGGAGGCCCAGACTTCCCTCTCCCCAGCCACTTGGGCCAGCTCTTCCGGGGGAATCCCGAGGCGTTCCCAGGCCAGCCGAGAAACATAGTCCCTCCAGCGTGTCCTGGGTCTTCCTCTGGGCCTCCTTCCGGTGGGACGTGTACGGAACACCTCACCAGGGAGGTGTCCAGAAGGCATCCTAAACAGATGCCCAAGCCACCTCAACTGGCTCCTCTCGACATGGAGAAGCAGCGGCTCTACTCCGAGTCCCTCCCGGATGATCGAGCTTCTCACCCTGTCTCTAAGGGAGAGCCCAGACACCCTGCGGAGAAAACTCATTTCGGCCGCTTGTATCCGAGATCTCATTCTTTCGGTCACAACCCAAAGCTCGTGACCATAGATGAGGGTAGGAACGTAGATCGATCGGTAAATTGAGAGCTTCGCCTTTTGACTCAGCTCTCTCTTCACCACGACAGACCTGTACAGCGCCCGCTTCACTGCAGACACTGCACCTATCCACCTATCGATCTCACGCTCCATTTTTCCTTCATTCGTGAACAAGACCCCAAGATACTTGAACTCCTCCACTTGGGGTAGGACCTCTTCCCTGACCCGGAGAGGGCACTCTACCCTTTTCCGGCTCAAGACCATGGCCTCGGATTTGGAGGAACTGATCTTCATCCCGGCCGCATCGCATTCGGCTGCGAACCGCTCCAGCGAAAGCTGTAGATCACGATCTGATGAAGTCAATAAGACCACATCATCTGCAAAAAGCAGAGAAACAATCCTAAGGCCACCAAAACGGATCCCCTCAACACCTTGGCTGCGCCTAGAAATTCTGTCCATAAAAGTTATGAACAGAATCGGTGACAAAGGGCAACCTTGGCGGAGTCCAACTCTCACCGGGAACAAGCCCGACTTACTGCCGGCGATGCGGACCAGGCTCTGACACCGGTCATACAGGGACCTAACAGCCCGTATCAAAGGGCCCGGTACCCCATACTCCCAAAGTACATCCCACAGGGACCCCCGAGGGACGCGGTCGAACGCCTTCTCCAAGTCCACAAAGCACATGTAGACTGGTTGGGCAAACTCCCACGCACCCTCCAGGACCCTGCTGAGGGTCACTTATGTCTGTGAACTCATCCAATTACACTCGCAGTCCGCGATATCCTTCCAAAGTTGCTGGGTCAAATCCTCAGACATGGCTCCACAGTACCGTGTAACTGTATTTCTTGATACCTGGAGAGCTTGGATCCAAGATAATATTTCTGGTTTGTTTTTAAAGTCTCGGAACAACTAAGGACTTTTACCATCTCTCTGTTTTGGAAGGACTTCTTGTGCTCAACGATGAAGTGACTCACCCGGATGATGCTTCGGTAGCTGCCTTTGCTGCTGTGGTCAGCTGTAAGAAAATGGCTGCTGTCCCGATAACTGGGATTTTAGTTCCTTCATATTTTTCTTTCTCAACTAGTTTTTCAGAAGGAAGTCAGTGACATCGTTTTTAATGAACAGTTTGAAAATGCTGCTCCACGTTTCCCTTCTTTGGAATAGCAACGGTAGACTTGCAGATGAGGCAAACGCACTTTGGATATGACAATGTGGGTAAAAAAAAGAGTCCTCCTCCCATTCCGTATGGAAATGTTAAGCTTTTTGCTGCTTACTTGGTCCAGCTCCCTCACTCATTTTATACCCTTTCTTGAGTTTAGAAGAAATAAACTGGAAGCTAACTAGACAACTTGCTAGTTTTTGGCACGGTTGTATGCGCATGTGTACCCATGTGTCACAAAAGGTCAGATCTCAGACTGGCGGCCCTGTATGTAAATCAAATGACAAATATGTTGACGTCTATTTTTTTTAATGTCATGCAATCTACCCAAACTACCTTTGCGATCGATGTAATGGGCACCCCTGCCCTAAATATTTTTTTAAACCCTTTAAATCAATAAGTATTTCTTAACTTTATGAATTGTTGTCCTGCTGTAAGAGTATTGAGTGTGACCTACTCTGGATGCTGGGGCTGTAGGGGTCATCAATCCTGATGGATGGATCCAAAACTCTGTAGATGACCTACACCAGGAAACACAAAATGAACTCAATTTACTGATAGAAAGGACTCAAAGTTACGAGTCTTAATGCCACATATCGTGAAGCTTAATAGGATGCGAGTACAGGAGATGGTTAGGCTGCATCCTGTCAGGGTCATTAAAAAGCCCATTTTGTTGTCTTAATTGCTGATGATGTATAGGTGGGGTGCTGATTAGATGAATGTTAGTTTATACTCCTGGCAATAAGTTAATTTTACAATGAAATACAAAAAAACAGCAAAGAGGTAAGGTGGAAAAACAAAGAGAAGCTGCTCTGGACAATCATATTTCAATCCAAAAGATTTGTTTCTTCAGTGGCGCAAAGCTAAACAAGCAACAACAGAACCAAAACATTCAAGAGCGTTGTAAGAGCATTATATTTGAACTTGGGTGTTCAAATGTTTGAGCTACAAACACTTAATTTAGCGTTTAGCATAGAATTTAGCGTTCCCAGTTAGAAAGTCCGAAGTCTCTCACAGACTCTGACAGCAAAACCCAAAATGGCTGTTTGTTTGTCCAAAGAAGTGTTGATGATAGCACTGTTTAACTTTTTAGTACTTTTGTCAGTTTGGATTTGTTCACATCAGCAATAAACATAGTAATGTACAACTTTTATTAGTGAGCAACTTGCTGCAGTGTTTTAATTATGTCTTCGGGTCGTGCTGCTATTAATATTAAGGACACAAGAACACATCAAGGTGGGTTGAATTGGAAATCCAACGTTCGAGCTAAATGGAACGGCACCTCAGATTGTTTTACATTTTTCTAGCATTGCCCCACCAATAACAACAAATGGCAGGACCTTGATATAACAGGTGTATCTAAAAAAAATCTGAATATCGCGAAAAAGTTCCGTTTTTCAGTCAATCGTTTCAGAAAGTGAAATTATACAGAGAGGGAAATATTTCAAGCCTTTATTTCTTGTCATTTTGTTGATTACGGTTTACAAATAATGGAAAAACAAAACTTGGTGTTTCAGAAAATTAGTATAAATCTGAATATCACATTTCTAGCTTTGGTACGTTTGTCAGTGTGGGCAGGAGCCGAGTCCTGCTGGAAGCTGAAATCAGCATCTTCATAAAGCTCGTCAGCAACATGAAGTGCTCTAAAATGTCCTGCTACATGCTGCGTGGACTGTGGACGTCAGAAAACACAGTGGACCAACACCAGCAGAGGACATGGACCCAAACCATCACTGACTGGGGAAACTTCTCTCTGGACTTCAAGCATTGTGGATTCTGGACCTCTCCGCTCTTCCACCAGACTCTGGGACTTGATTTCCAAATAACATGCAGAATTTACTTTCATCTGAAAGGAGGACATTGGACCACTGAGCAACAGTCCAGATCTTTGTCTCCTCGAGACGCTTCTGATGTTGTCTCTGGTTCAGAACTGGCTGGACTTGAGGAATGAGACATTTGTAGCTCATGTCTTGGAGTTAATCAGCTGATTAGGGTGTGACATCAGGAGTTTCCAACATTGCCCCTCTACACAATATTCTAACTTTCTGAGACACTGAACTTAGATTTTTCATTATTTGTAAATCATAATCATCAAAATCACAAGAAATAAAGACTTAAAATATTTCACTCCACGTAATGAATCTATGAAATATACAAGTTTCACTTTCTGAAATGACTGACAAAAACAAATTGAACTTTTTCCTCAGTATTATAATTACTGGTGACACGGTGTCTCCGTTGGTAGAGCTGTTGCCTCTCAGCGAGAAGGTTGCCGGTTCAAATCCTGGACCGGAACCTTTCTGGGTGGAGTTTGCATGTTCTCTCCGTGCATGCGTGGTTTTTCTCCGGGTTCCTCCCACAAACCAAAAACATGCATGTTAGGCTAAATTGTCCCTAGGTGAGAGTGAGAGAGTGAATGTTTGTTTGTCTTGTTTGTCTCTATGTGTCCCCTGTGATGGACTGGAGACCTGTCCCCCGTCTCCCGAACAGTGATGGTTGGACATGGGCCACCAGTGACTCCCGCGACCCGAAAAGGAGGAAGCGGGTAAAGACAATGGATGGATGAATGGATGGATTCTCATTATTTTAGATGCACCTGTACATGTAGATGTGAGTTCAAGAAGCACTAATGTAATATGGATGAAGAAGGAGGTTCTTACCTCTCCTTCTGTTGAAGGCTCAATGTCAGAGTAGCGGGACTCACAGATGACGTCATTAATGTTCCGCAGCGGACCCTGCGATACTCCAGAGAAAGAATCTGCACAGTCATGGGCAAAGTAGCGATAGGTCCGCCAGGTACGACCAAAATCAGCTGACCGCTCTATAAGCAAGGCTGCTGGACGGAAAGTCTGCAAGAACAGGATTCCAAATCTTCTTTAAGGTATTTTTACGGCTAAAAGTATTTATTTTAAGCCAAATCTGTTAGCGTCTTACCTTAAATGTCATAATCAAATGAGTGAAATGAAACTCTGCCTCCAGATCCAGCTGAATAAAAACATCAGACTTTCCTGAAGAAGGCAGTAAAAAAAAAAAAAAAACAGATGAGTGGACTTCTTGAGTCAATCCCTTTTGGGAAGCTTGAGTCAATAATTATTAAATCATCTGTACTATTTTCCATTTGCATCTTCAGTTTCTTCCAGCTGGTGACATATAATCATGGCCAGTGGCAGTAAGTGAAGTTGTAAACATGATTTTGGTTTGAGGGATGGCCTCTTGACAGAAAAAAGCCACACTCACTTTCTGCAGGAAAACTGAAGAGAGGCTTGAACAGCCCACACACTCGCGGAGCTCCTGATTTTATTTTAAGGGCCTCTCAACTCTGAGAACTACTTTCACTCCTGTTCTCTGAGCCTACTCTGCAGCTCAAAGCAGGGGGCTTCCCATTTCTGCATACCAGCACATAAAAGGTGCTTTTTTTTGACAACTTAACTTATAGCAAACCTTCAACCTTGAAACTGCCGATGTAAAAACAGAACACAAGTTTTATGCACACATGAAAAACGAGGCCAACAGATAAAATACTCTGACAGATACTTTGTGAGAACACATGTACCTGCATTTAACCTAGAATAAAAAACAAATGCTCAGCCAGTTCCATAATAACAAATGATCCATTACGATGAAAAATATTTTAATGTAATGCAATAGTACAAAACATAATATAGATTTTCTGATTTAAAGCATTGTTGATGCATGTGTGCAGTTTGTGAAACTTTGAAATCTTACCATCCTTTCTTTATGCAGACGACACAGTTGTTTATCCATCCATCCATCCATTTTCTTTACCCGTTTATTCCATTTTGGGTCACGGGGGTCGCTGGTGCCCATGTCCAGCAATCACTGTGCGAGGGGCGGGGTACACCCTGGACGGGTCGCAAGTCCATCACAGGGCCACATAGAGACAAACGAGACAAACAACCATTCACTCTCTCACTCACACCTAGGGACAATTTAGAGTTACCAATCAGCCTAACATGCATGTTTTTGGACTGTGGGAGGAAACCGGAGTACCCGGAGAAAACCCACGCATGCACGGAGAGAACATGCAAACTCCACCCAGAAAGGCCCCTGGACCGGGGTTTGAACCAAGGACCTGCTCGCTGAGAGGCAGCAGCTCTACCAGTTGCGCCACCGTGCTGCCCCAGTTGTTTATTGTCGAGCTAAAACAGTTGCTAAGATTTTCCAGCTTTTACAAACTGAATTCGACATATTCAATCTGACTTGTTCCAAACTGGTGTTAAATGCTGATTAAACCAAAGGGATGTTGTTTTCAAATAGAAAGTTGGCGCCAGCAATCCTTCCTCCTATCTTATCTATGAACGGTGTTCCTATTGAGTTTGTGGACTCTTACAAATACTTGGGAATCTTGGTCGATGCACATCTTTTTAAGCCACATTTCCTGCGGGATCACTAAAGTTCTATCTTATCTTATCTTATGTCAAAAACTTGATAAAGAAATTGAAATTAAAACTGGGTTTCTTTTTTCAGAAATAGATCTTGCTCAACTCTGAACGCCAGGAAACGCCTTGTAGCTGCTACTTTCCTCCCCTCCATTGACTATGTTGACATTATTTACATGAATGCTCCTACAAGCACCTTACAGATGTTGGACACTGTCTATCATGGCGCGTAAAGATTCATAACTGGTTGTAACCCATCATTGCACTCTGTACTCACTGGTCATCATTAACTTAACGCAGACTCTCCCACTGGTACATTTTCATCTATAAATCACTCCTTGGTCTGCTGCCTTCTTATAGCTCCTGCTATATGTCACTTCATCAGTGCAGTCACGGCGTGCACTTTCAAGACATCATTACATGCAGCGTCCCCTCAGTGCGGACTGATTTCAGCAAAAAGGGCTTTCTCTTACTCCGCTCCTGTAACACCTCGCAACAACAGCTGAAGCTCTCGACTTGGACCCCTCTGAGGGATTTCAAACAACTGTTAAGGTCAATGCAAAAATCCACGCAGACATGTTCCTGTTTTTACTATTTTACCTCGTTTCATAATGAAGCTTTTTTTATTTGGTTTTATATCACAACTTTTTCTTACTTTTCATTTTATATGCATTTTGTGGCTGTTTATTTGTTTGTGTGTACCTCATCTGTGTTCTTTGTTTAAAAGAGGTCTCTACTGAAAATGAGTCCTCGTGGTTCAATGAGACTAACTTGTAGAAATAAAGGTTGAACGAATGACAAAAAGGTTAAATGGTGTCATCTGGACCAGTTTCTTTAAGTGAAGAAACATTTCATTCACCATCCAGGGGACTTCCTCAGTCTACGGCCTGCCAACCAGATCTGTCTCATAGGTAGCCTTCACTGCTATCTCAGATATAGACATTTTGCATGTTAAAAGCCTATTTTTAAGACTGAGGAAGTCTTCTGGATTAGGGGATGAAACGTTTCTCACTTAAAGAAACTGGTCCAGATGACATGATTGAATCTTTTTTGTAGTTGTTGTTATCTACCTGGATGGCTGAGCTTACAAACCAAAATAATTTAAATAATGTTATGTTTTGCACTTTGGTGTTATGTTTTGCAAGTAAACAGGTTTATTGGAAGCAACTGACGTGAAAAAACTAAAATCTCTGGTTCTGAAGGACTATTCAAGGTGTGAACTAGATTGTACGCTTGTACTGATTACGATCAGCTTCAATTAGACCATATTTAATTTTGTCTTATTTATATCACTTAATTTTTTCTGTTATGTCCTGGAATCATTTCTGTTGTGAACCGGTGCAATATGCATGGACATAATGCTTAAACGTTTGTAAAAAAGTCAGACCATATTAGTCATTTTCTTCTTCTTCTTTCGGCTGCTCCCTTCTTCAGGGGTCGCCACAGCGAATTAACTCGCAGGAAGACTTAGTCATTGTTTTTACGCCGGATGCCCTTCCTGACACAACCACAGACATCGAGATACCACAGTCCTCTGTGTGGAGCAGAGAGCACCTGAGAGAGAAGATGATGGGGGTTAAGGACCTTGCTCAAGGGCCCAGAGTGGTGCAAATGAGGGTGGAGGCAGGTGTGGGTGTTTCACCTTTCCCACCCACATTTTGTTGTTGTCAGTACAGGGAGTAGAACCGGTGACCTTCCGATCACAGGCTCGCCTTCTCTATTCTCTGCGCCACAACAATTTAAATTTAAGCTACTGTATGCTTGAATTATAAAAATTCTAATGTAAAACCCAATTAAATAATTAGTTATAGTTCATTTTCTGTCAAAACAAAACAAAAGCGTCAAAGATAGGCCTGTCACGATAACAAATTTTGCTGGGCGATTAATTGTCTCAGAAATTATTGCGATAAACGATAATATTGTTTGAAATTTGACAATAGTTAGTAATTATTGTCAAATTAAGGGAAGAAATGTTGGTTAATTTTGTGTATAGTACATTTTTTGACCACTGGATCGAAGTATAAGACTGTTTGAACCAAAGGATGGATAGTGAGGGAGCGAGCAGCGTGTCTCTTTAAGAAAAATGGGAGGGAGGCCCCTTGACGTGACATGGGCTGTCACTCATTCCTGTTTTCTGGTTCTGAAAATGGCGGACGCTCGGTGTGGTTTGAGCTCTTTAGCATAGCATTTTTCATACAAAGCTTTTAATAACAAATCAGTAAACAAGTTCTCAGCTTCTTTTTGCAGAGAAAAACAACTTTTTAGAGAAAGGCGCAGGTTTCAACCGTGAATTTTGGAGCTTCGACAAGACGGAGGTTTTTTCCCCCGAAGTCGGCCTGTTAGCTAAGCTCGTAGCTTAGCTTCTCAGCTTAGCTGCTTTTAACGATCCAAAGACGTGATTTTAGATGGTTAAAATGGATTTTAAAGAAAAGAGAAAGGGAGGGGTCAGTGAAGAACACCGGAGTTGAGCTTTTTGTCATCCAGTGTCTTCAGAAAGAGAGAGACATGAAGAAACGATACAGCCGATAAATGAAGATGAGGTCGATAATTTTCATTTATCATGCGATTAATTGATTTATTGTTTATCACGACAGGCCTAGTCAAAGAGGCAAAGATTTTGGAGCTTTGCTAGCAGAGTATTTCTTATTTTATTCGCTAGTTTGGCTTCAAATAATAATCACGCAACAGCAAATAGAGCCATTGTCTAAACATCTCTTCTTAAATCTACTTCTGATAAAGAGACTGCATGTTTCCAAAAAACCAACCAACACAATCAAACCCCTGTCTTTCAAACCAAATAGGCCCCGTTGTGTGCTCCATGTAACTGCCACACGGACGCCATGGAAAATCAGGAGTAAAAATAGTCACTTTACTTCCTGTGCCCCTTGGTCCTCTTCAGTTTCTCTCTGGTTCTATTCTCGGTTTTGGTGCTGCACAAAGTTGTCATCAACAGAACTCCATTACCACCGCAGGATTCTTAAACCAGTCTTTTGTTTAATGAGCCGATCAGTCACATAAAATACATGTTAACATTTGTCCCCGACTAAGCTGAGTCGTCTGATTCTGTCCTACATGTTCCTTTCACTTTTATCTTTTATCTTTTGGCTGAGACTGAACTTTGCTCATTCTGCTTCCCGTCTCTCTAATAAGATGTCGTCGGAGCTTTGCTGTTAGGCTGATCTGTAGCTGGAGGGAGGATGTGGGACACAGTGTGTTCACGTGGAAACTTTGTACTAATTTTAAAGGTCTCTTGAGCTGCCAGTCACTTTATGCTTGTGGTTACAATAAACTTTTATATTTTACTTTTTACCTTTCGTTCTCTTGCCAACTTGTTCTCCAGAAACTCCAAATCACCCAGTTTTTTCTTTCTTTCCCTCTTCTTTAAATTACGAATAGAAGTACTTTTTGATTTTGACTAAATACCAGTGGCTAAATGTTCCAGCCGTATAATTTTTATCAGTCAAAAAAAAAAACAAATTTAAAAGCCAGCTTGCTGAGGAGCATGCAAGCATTACTTCACTTCATGTTTAATGTTTTAGAGCACAGTTAATTTGAATCAGCACCAAATACTTTATACTTTGTATATATAAAATAAAATAAAATAAACTACTACTTACTACTTGTACTACTATTCCTATTTGCAGTTTTTCACTTATCGCGGGTCTTCAGGGTACGGATCCCCCATGATAAACGAGGGACTGCTGTCTTATTAAAGCTACTTTTAAAATAAAGTTCATTCGCAGGACAGTGTTCACTGTGAACTTCCCATGAAGTTGCATGAGACTACATCCAAACATGTCTGTTCGACTTAATTAAAAAGGCTCTCCTGCAACACAAACTAGACATTTTTGTTTTTAATCTAGGTTTACTTAAACACGAGTTTTAGACACAGTACAGTAGAAGTTCATGTCTATTTTCAGATAGTTGGGAGTAAATTAAACTGTCACAAAGTCTGCTAACCATTCTCAGACTGCCACCAGGACTTCTTGCGGTGAGGTTTGAAGGTGGTGATGACGTTCTCTATCCGGTGGTTGATGGTGTTGTAGACGGGGTCGTACGGACGCCGGGAGTCACACTCGAAACACTTCTTCTCATCCTGCAGCAGGACAGAATCCCGTTACGTTATATGATCAAAAGAAGAAGAGCTCGCTGGAAAAACAACATTAAATACAATCTAACAACTCCTAACGTCACCTGTAAATGACTGACGATGCAGTAGGGCTCTTTTCGTCTCATGCCGCATGTGGATGAGGCCTTCAGGTTTTTCTCTCTTCCAACCAGTAAGTCTCCAGTTGCTGGGTAACAGCTGCCGTGGGCACAGCCGTGGGCTTGGTCGGGCTCCTGGCCAACCGTGGCAGCCAGGCCTGGGACCAGGGAAACAGGAAATGAATTGCAGTGAACAGGAAGTACAACGCAGATGGACATCGATTTCTAACAAATGGACAAAAGTTTGCAAATAAAGTGAACCTAATTAGTACTCTTGTATATTTTATATTAAATAAATTAACCACTTTTTAAAACTAAAATATATGCAATAATCAATATGTTTCTGTCCAACCCCTCTAGGTGAGCTCTGACAAGAGCGAGGAATAAAGATTTTGTTTGATAATAATGTACCCCTGCAGTTGGACAGCTGCTGTTGATCAAGAGCTGATTCTGTGTTGAGACAACATCCACTGCTAGGAGGATTATTTCAGGTTAACAAGCTTTGCAATCAGAAGGCTCCAAAAGAGGGGTCAAGCAAGAGACTGCAGCCACCAGTAAAACCAGAGTCACAACAAAGCAGATCCAGCAGAAGCAGCCAACATTTGGTTAGCATCATAGCTAATTTAGATGTGACAGTAGCAGAAAGAATAATTTTACGATAGATACTGATGTTGGACAGAAGTTACAAAGGCGTGTCTGTTCCAGAATTGGAGCCATGGTGTGACGAAGTAGTCGGGCTATGTGTGGGAGTTAAAATAAACCTTATAAACCTTCATGACAACCAGCAGCAGCAGCCGTGAAACATTCCACCGGTCATCTATGTGGGTTTATCCTCCCACGTGCCCCTGGGACCTGTCTGTCTGCTGCTGTCTGTGGACGTCCTGCTCAGAGGAGAGACCTTCAGTCTGACCGTGACAGGTGGTTCTCGTTTCCCTCGACATATGGCAAGATCAAATCTTGCCATATGTTGCGCAAAACCCTTCAAACGTCCAACACCGAAACATATCAGTCCATCTTCACGTTCCGGCTTTAAAAAAAGAATTAAACATGAAGATTCACCTGCTTTGCATCAACGTAAAAGGGCTGCTGTTTAATATACCACAATATACAGTTTATTATACTGTAATATACTGTTTAATATACCGTAATATACTGTTGAATATACTGTTTAATATACTGTTTAATATACCGTAATATACTGTTTAATATACTGTTTAATATACCGTAATATACTGTTTAATATACTGTTTAATATACCGTAATATACTGTTTAATATACTGTTTAATATACTGTTTAATATACCGTAATATACTGT